AGGGAATACAACAGAGAGTCCCTGATGGAGCAGGAGAAAGGTGGGGTGCAGAACTCAAATTCTAGTAAGAAGACCAGACTTAGTGGTCTGAGACTGGAGGAACCCCAGAAGGCATGGCCCCTGGATTCTCTATCAGCCCAGAACTAAAACAATTTTCGAGGACAACTCTTCAGAGAGGGATTGGACTGGACTGTGGGACATAAATTGATACTCGTGAGGAGTGTGCCTCTTAGCTCAAGTAGATACAAGAGACTAAATGGGCAGCTTCTGTCCAGAGGTGAGGTGGGAAGGCAGAGAGGGTTAGGAGCTGGTTGAATGGACATGGGGAATAAGGTGGAAAGGAGGAGTGTGCTATCACAGTATGGGGAGAGCAATTAGGGTCACATAACAATGTATGTATAAATTTTTGTATGGCAAAAAATAAAAATAAATAAATGATTACTACCCCCCACCCAAAAAAAAAGAATTCCTCTTACAAAATAAATTTTCAATTTGCACTTATTTTTACAACCAGAAACTCATTTTTCCTTTAGGTTGGTCTTATAGAATCTATTTTGAAGATCGCTTTGTATTTGTTCTTTGCTCTCTAAATCTGTCTTGCTATGTCATTAACCAAAACCCTTCTTAACATTCTTAAAAAACAACCTCTTTCAACTTTTTAGAAAATAGCTTTCCAGGAGAGCTTTCTCCCTGATGCTATCGGAACTATTATTTTTCTTATTTAGCATTTGTCAAATAGGTGCAATTTAATAGGGGAAGGAAGGACGGTTGTGGCGACACTGTCAGAAAATAATACAGCACTTGAAATCAACCGACTACACCATTACTCAGTTTGCAGGTGAGTCAGAATTTTAAAAATATGTGTGAAAGGGCTCTGCAAAGGGCTCTAGATATATAAGGTGTGGTTCTCTGTCATCTCCATTAGCGGGAAGCCGTAAAAAAAGAGGACTTTCCAATAGCCTGACCCTGACACCACAGCAGGAAACTCCAAGCCAGTTTTTGCCAAGGACGTGAGATGTGGGAGTGACCCAAGATGGAAGGAGCACAATGACCCATCTGTAATTCTGAGCAGAGGCTGGGTGAAGGCGTGGTTGCACCAAACCACTTAAAACAGGAGGTCAGATAACAAATATTGTTTGGGAGTGCCAACTCCATGCTATCAATTCCATTAGCTATACCTCGACTTTCATTCCTTTGGGGTTGGGGCCAATTCAACTCCAGCACTGAGGTCTCCAAGAAGAACTCAACTGATGGCTAGGTCCACTCATCTGATCTCTCACTACCTCCTGACCCTGGGACTGCAGACAGGGGAAGACCCAGCTGTGTGGCTCCCGTTCACCTTGCTGTGGCGCTCAGTTTTGCTGTGATATTTTGGGATCCCAGTTACATTTCTATCTATTGAGACTTTAGTATTATTCGTGCAGAACATTTTTTTCAAATCGTAGATGCAAACTCTTCAAGGGCAAGAACTTTCTGAATTACCTTTGTACTCCCAAGACTTGGCACAGGGAGCCTGAACAGAATAACTCAGCAAAGGTGTGCTGCATGCAAGAACTGATAGCAGACTTGTTGTGTGACTCTGTGGGAACATTTTGGGTGTTTGTTTTCCTCTATAAATATTTTTCCCATAAGTGAGAGCACAAAACTCAAAACCAAACCTGTTACTGTTGAGTTGATTCCAACTTATAGTGATCCTATAGGACAAAGTAGAACTGACCCCATAGAGTTTCCAAGGAGTGGCTAGTGGATTTGAATTGCTGACCTTTTGGTTAGCAGCCAAATGTTTAACCACTGCACCACTAGGGCTCCAAGTGAGAACATAAAGTATATACAATTTAGAATTCTGCTTTTTTTCTCCCCAATTAACATGATATAGATATTTTCCTGTGTTACCAAAAATTCTTCCCAAATATATTTTTTTGTAGGTATATGTGGTTGATTAGGAGTCCCTGGGTGGCACAAATGGTTAAGTGCTCAACTACTAACTGAAAGGTTGGCAGTTTGAACCCACTCAGAGGTGCCTTGGAAGAAAGGCCTGGTGGTCTACTTCCAAAAGGTCACAGCCTTGAAAACTCTATGGAGTGCAGGTCTACTCTGCACATATGGGGGTTGCCATGAGTCGGAACAGACTCAACAGCAAATGTTGTTTTTTTTTTTTAATGTAGTAAATTAATATTCCATTGTTTGAATGTGGTATAATATCCTAAGCCATTCTCTTAGTGTTTAGCATTTGGGTTACTTTCTGTTATTAATTCTCATAAATAAAAAAATATGGCTACTTCTTTCATTTGCATTTTGGCTTAGTTTCTTAGGATAGATTCCCTGAAATAGAACCACTGGGTTAAACTGTATGAATTTTTTTTGCTAATTTGATAGTTGAAAACTCCATCCTCTTGTGGTTTTAATCTGTATATTTCTTTACTTGCTAATGGTGCCAAACATTTTCTTTATCTCTGTTTACTAGTTGTATTTCCTCCTTTGTGAATTGTCCTTTCTGTCCCTTCTGTTCATGTCCTTTGTCCATTTATCTATTAGGGTCTTAGTATTTTTCTTACCAATTTGCATAGATTTTTCCATAATAAACATTCTAACCACCGTCATATCTACTGAAGACAATTTTCCTCTCTCTGTGGGCTGGGTTTTATTGTTATACTGTTTGTTTATTAAAATATAGTTTAAATTTTTTCATATCTTAATCATGTTTTTCCCTGTTTCTAACATTAAACTTCTTGAAAGAGAGGACCATACCCACTAGGTCTCTTTTCTTAAACCCACTCCTCCGATATCCAAAATCCATAGTCATCCAGCTGCTGACCCTATGACTTTTGCAAGCTGCTCTCCCTAAAGTCACCAACTACCTTCGACCATCTACTTTTTTTTTTTTTTTTTTTAGTATAATGGCTTTATTATTTTTGTAAAAATGCTACATTCTTACTATACAAAATTGAAGACAGTTTGGGTGCTCTTACAAAAGCTCCTACCCAGAGATAACTACTAATACTAGGTGAACAGCATTCTAGGCATCTCTAGGATATTTCTAGCTAGGAGGCTAGGTGGAAATACTTTTATTAAAATGGGATCATATAGTCATGCTAGCTTTTAAATAATATTTTATTGTGTTTTTGGTGAAAGTTTACACAGCAAATTAGGTTCCCATTTAACAATTTCTATGCATATTGCTCAGTGACATTGGTTACATTTTTTCACGATATGTCAACATTCTCATTATTTCCACTCTGGTTGTTCCATTTTCATTAATCTAGCTTCCCTGCCTACCCCCACCTTCTTATCTTTGCTTTAGGGTAAATGTTGACAGATTGGTCTCGTATAGATGATTTTTTTTAAAGAAGCACAGTACTCACAGGTGATATTG